GTAGAAAGATGTGATGTAAGAGGAAAATAATAGTGAAATTTCAAAAATCTTGAAAGCAAATCAAGTTAGGGATTGAAGTTTAAGAACATTATAATGAATATATGATACAAAATAACAAATTATGATGAGTTTGGGTATCTAAGCTTACATACCCTTAAGGGTATATTCACTTTTCCCATATAATAAGGGCAAAATGAATATACCCTTAAAGGTATATAATCTTAGGTACCCAAAGTCACCATACTACGTCGTTTTGTATCATATAATGCATTGTAATCATCCACAGTTTTTCAAATTCAACTCCTAACTTGATTTACTTCCAAAGATTCTTATAAATTTCACCATTATCGTCCACTTACCTAGTATACATTTTCAACTATAATATATATAGTCTAGAAGGTGTTCGGTAGAAAGATATGATGTAAGAGGAAAATAATAGTGAAATTTCAAAAATTATGAAAGCAAATCAAGTTAGGGATTGAAGTTTAAAAACATTATAATGAATATATGATACGGAATAACAAATTATGATGATTGGGTATCTAAACTTACATACCCTTAAGGTTATATTCACTTTTCCCATATAATACGGGCAAAGTGAATATACCCTTAATGGTATATAACCTTAGGTACCCTGTAACATCGCAAATTTCGAGTCCAAAAATTTCATTTTTATTTAACTGAGTATAAAAACATTCATAAGAAATTTTTGTAAAAATATATCATTTCGTAAATCAATATATTATGTCTGAAAACCCCAATCATAAAATAGTAACAAGTCAGAGTAAAATCCCAGAATATCTCAAGTGCGGAAAACCAATGTGTGTGTATGATGTGATGCTACCGCGCCGGCTCCTTTCCCTTTGCTGAAGAGGTACCTGAAACCAAAATTGTAAATTTTAAGCACGAAGCTTTGTGAGTTCCCCCATCCTACCGCATACCATACGATCACATAGCATACATACTGTCGGGCAATTCTAGGGTGTCCGACCTACCCGATACGACCATTCTGGGGTACCGACCTACCCATGTCAATCCCTTCTGGGTGCTGACCTACCCATGTCAAGCCCTTCTGGGTTGCTCACCTACCCTTCCGTCCTAACAACCGAATTTAGGGACTATTTCCCTCCTACTACCACTATTATAACATATCATGCCAGCATATAAACATATCATCACATATTGTAAGACATATCTGGGGTGTCTGACCTACCCTTCGGTCCTAAAAACCGAACTCTACTAGTATCACATATAACATATCATGCCAGCATATAACATATCAGGTAGTAGCAAACCTAGATGATATCACAAAGATAATCATCTAACATACAGCTCCTACTGGTGGGTCGGCATTATGGTCGTAGACCCACCGCTAATGGAAAGTAACTCACCTCGCAAGTTGACTGCTGAAAAGCTGATCTGCAGATGTCTGACTGCTGCTCCGGCGATCCTTCGGTTATAAATCCATAAAACACTTAATCAGACAATGATAACAACTCTTAGCATAAAATAACTATTTTACCCTCGACCAAGTTAAAGTCAAATTCAAAGTCAAAGTCAACTTCCAGTTGACCCAACTCGCCGAATTGGGCCACCAACACGTCGAGTCCCTATCCTTTCATCTGGCCTTCTTCACACCTCAACTCGTCAAGTTTGGCAACGACTTGACGAGTTCTCCTTCTAAAATAACTCTGAGCGAGCCTTCATCCGACTTGCCGAGTTGTATGAAAAACTTGTCGAGTTTATTACCATCTTATGAACAAGTCCTGCACTTGACTCACCGAGTTGTATGTACAACTCGTCAATTTCATCTTAAAACGTTGGGAGATTGCCTTGGACTCGCCGAGTCTGATCATACACTTGTCGAGTCCTATGGTTCTCAGGTCCTTTTTCACGTCCAAACATCCACGAGACTCCCTTTCCTAACAACTGGTCCATTCGTAGAATGGATTCGGTGGTCATTACGCCTCGACTCGTCGAGTCCCAAGAACAACTCGTCGAGTCCATCCTTGACCAATACTATATAGTCGATTTAAATGGGTCTTAACACCTCAAAACCATAGATCTGGCCTCCTAATGTCCATTTTATACTTAAATTTCCAATGTTGGTGCACATGCATGGGGTTTTTGGCTCAAAAATCCATAAAAGGTGTTCTACAATGTGCATAGGGCTCTCATGGCCATAAAGTTGGCACCTCTATGCCATGAGACCCCTCCAATGATTCAAATCTGAAATTAGAACTCCATGAATCCCATCACAAATCCAGAATTGGCTTAGAGAGCCCTAAATGCACCAAAAATCTAAGCCATAAAGATGAACAGCTACAAGAAAGACCAAAACAGGGGGCATTTACCTTGATTGAGCTGAAAATGGAATAAGATCTCTGGATCTACAAGCCCCAAATTGAATTCCCAAGCTTCCTCCTTCCTTCTAAGCTTCACAACCACCCAAAAGCACCAAAAATGGCCTTAGATCACTCAAAGCGACTAGGGTTTCGATAAGAAGTGTGCTGGGAAGGGACACTAGAGCTGGAATAAGATGTTTAAATAGGGTGCAAACCCTCAGATTTAGGGTTTCCCTCAAATAGCACCTACTCGTCGAGTCAGTCTCCCGACTCGTCGAGTAGGTCACTTATAATTCCCGCGGATCGCGACCCTACTCGACGAGTTGGGCCACCAACTCGTCGAGTCCCAAAGGAAATACAGAAATGCTTAAATTAAATGCGTACTGGGAATCAAGTGTTACAAATCTCCTTCACTTATTTTAGACTTTGTCCTCGAAGTATGTTGTTCGATCCTGAAAAAGCTCGGGGTAACGCTCCTTTCAACTCGTCCTCTGGATCCCAAGTCCATTCCGATCCTTTACGGTGCTGCCAATACACCTTTACCAGCTCCACCTTCTTGTTCCTCAGATCCTTCGAATTCCTGTCAAGGATTGCTACTGGCCGCTCGATGTAGTTCAGGCTATCATCAACCTGAATATCCTCTAAAGGCACCAATACCGAATCATCCACCAAACATTCCCGTAACTGGGAGATGTGGAAGGTGCTATGAATCTGACTAAGCTCGGTTGGCAGATCCAGCCTATATGCTACCTTGCTTACTCGGGCCATAACCCTGAAAGTCCAATGTACATGGGGCCCAACTTGCCCTGCTTCCTGAATCGAATGATGCCTTTCCAAGGCGACACCTTCAGGAGAACCATATCTCCGACCTAGAACTCCAGGTCTGAACGGAATTTGTCAGCATAGCTTTTCTGCCGACTCTGTGCAGTCTGGAGCCTACTCCGGACCTGTTGAATCCTTTCAGTCGTCTTGAGCATCACTTTAGTGCTCCCTATGACCCTCTGGCCAACCTCACCCCAACATATCAGGGTCCTGCACTTCCTCCCGTATAACATCTCAAAGGGAGGACGATCGATACTTGCGTGATAGCTGTTGTTGTAGGAGAATTCATCCAATGAGAGTTGAGTATCCCAGCTACCACCGAAGTCTAGGACACACGCCTGTAGCATATCCTCCAAAGTATGGATGGTCCGCTCACTCTGACCATCCATCTGTGGTTGAAAAGCGGTGCTAAAGTGCAGTCAAGTACCCAGCTCATCATGGAACTTCTTCCAAAACCTGGAAACAAACCGTACATCTCTATCTGAAATCACCAAAACTAGGACCCCGTGCCGCACCACCACCTCCCGGATGTAGATGTCGGCCAACTTTTCGGCCGAAATACTTTCCTGAATCAGAATGAAATGGGTGCTCTTGGTCAACCGATCAACGATGACCCAAATCGAATCCACTCATCGCGCGGTCATGGGAAGCTTCGTAATGAAGTCCATGGTAATATCCTCCCACTTCCATAGCGGGATATCCAACGACTGGACCTTGTCGTGAGGTCTCTGGTGCTCAGCCTTGACCTTCCTACAAGTTAGGCACCTCTCCACAAACCAAGCTATGTCCCTCTTCATACATGGTCATTAATAATCGAGATGAAGATCCCTGTAAGATGCGACCTTGGCTTGGCTTGATCGGTATTATTAACTTGGATTCTCGGCTGCCTCTGCAAGATCACAAAGAAAGGAGGTCGTCAGCCGCTTTTTTGGAGGAGCTCCCGGAAGAACACTCCTACGGTCAAGTTAGAGAATGTTTAGGATCTTTAGGTGTGCACTCTTATTGAGTCCAGAGAGCTTACCTCGTAGGTCTGAGGGCGTATCCTTTTATACCTAGCTCCCTTGCCTGATCCGTACTGGACAAGATCGCTTTTGGGGAGATAGGATTAGGGGGGCCGATTGGAGAGTCATGCGCCTTCAACCTTTAGGGCAATCTTATTGGCTCTGACGGTAATGGCCTGGTCCTCCTGCTTGTCTCCTGACCGTATCTTTTGTCTCAGAGCTAGGAGAGTCCCTTGGCGGGTGCGGGCCTTTCGCCTGTGCATTCCACTCCCGAGGGCGCCAACGGATACTAAGCCTGTTGGGTTGGGCTTGGTTGGCGTGCCCGGCTGGTGCTTTTGCCGTGCTGGCCTAGGCATGTCATCAAGTCCCCCAGCCCAATAGCCGTAGCGTTGCAGCGCTAGTTATGATGTTTTGGACTTAGCTAGCTTACGCGTGTTGGTTTTTCTTTACCTGTCGTTCCGTCTTTAATGGCGACGTGATTGCGCATGATGACCGGTAGTTACGTCACCGTGCCAAGCATTTAAATGTCCCGCCTCTTCCTTTTCTTTATAAGGGCATTTAAGCGATTTCTCTATATATTTTCCTCCTTCTCTCTTCGCCTTCCTCTTTTCTGGTTGTTCTTCTTCTTTCTTCCTTTCTCATGGAAAACCTTCCCGATATCCATCTTCTGCCACTGAGTATCCTCAACTGGAGGTCACATATGGCTTATCTTCTTTGGAAGGTGTAGAGTTTCCTGCACCCGGTTCTAGCATCTCATCCCCTCCCCCTGGGAAGATTAGGGTTTACTTGAAAACCCTAGGAGGCCTTCCAGAAAGACGGTTGCAATCTTCAGATGCTGACCCCTAATGCAGTCAACAAAGTGGTTGCATTTCAGATGATCTGTAGGGCCAACGGGTATCTTCTAGATTACTTCGTTTTCAAGTTTTTCTTTCGATTCTACGTCACTGGAGATAAGTGCACCTTTTCGGTCCGACGAGGGGGGCACGCCTTAGTTCCCGACATGCAGACCCCTAAGAACTGGCAGGACAAGTGGCTATGGGTAAACCAGGAGTTGGTCGGAAGCGATCGGTATCGTGTGAATGCTTTTGCCGATACCATCCCCAAGCTTTTCCCTCACAACCAAAGTGTCACTGATTACCTGAAGTGTTTGCAAATATCCCCTGAGGATTATTCCGAGGCTCTGCTTTCTGGTGTGGGGATGAGCCCTTCTTGGAGGCGTTGTGGCAAAATGGCGCTGTTTTTCTCCGTTCTTTGATGGTGAGTGTTGCGCCCCTCTTTTTCCCTTCTCCCCTTGTTACTACTATGTGAATGATATTCCTTGTTCTGATATCTCTAGGTGTTAAATCTTCCCTGTCCATGGATGAGGTGTTACGGAAGCGTTATCTGGGAAAGTTAGAGTATCACGAGGTGGATCTAGCTAATCGTCTTCCTTCACCCCGCTGAATGGACCAGCTTACCTTAACTGCTGCCCCTTCCGCCCCTCCTGCAGGTTCATTAGCGTCGGAGGAGGATCCTTTACACGCCCACCCAATCTCTGCTGTCATGCCCCTGGGAAGCACTCGCTCCTCCTTCATGGAGGGTATCGAAGATAGTAAAGAAGGGATTATCACGTATGCCCATCGAATGCAAGCGAAGAGAAAAGTTATCTTAGCCATGGGTGAGCCGGTTACCGGCGCGCCTACCGCTGTCAAGAGAGTTCGCACCCGACGCAACTTCTCTCATCTGCTGAGTTCTATGACTTCCACACCTGCCGATGTGGTCGTGATCCCTGATGACGACACGCAACAGTCCAAAGGGGTCTACATGGCGACTGAACAGCCCGGTGCTCCTACTTTCTCCTCTATTCCTGTTTCCAGGTGTTCCATTGGTTTCCCTGAAATTCTTCCCAATTAAAGGCTCTAGCGGCCCTGGGTCAGTTTCAGTTCCTTTAGGTGGTGTTTCTGGAGACAGCTCTACTGAGTCTCCTATTTTTGTTCCTTCCTAGGATCTCCGTAATGATTCCCGACTCTCTGTTCGTAACAATGCTTTGGAATTTTCCCGCCATGCTTTTCCTCCAGCAATTGTTGGCGATATGGAGGCTATGGGTAATCTTGCCCTTGCTCATAACATGGCCTATGCTGCTGCGTGTTTTACCTTGTTACAGGTTCCCAATATGTTCATGGCCTTGGAGAGATGGAAGCCATCCATGGTACTTATGAGTCACGCGTGATGGGGATGGAGCGTCACCTTGGCGAGCTTGGCGAGGACCTCCGTCTGTCTGAGCAAAAGTGTGAATTGCTATCCTCTGAGAAAACCATCCTTGACAAAACTAGAGTCGTTTTGAAAGCTAAGGTCGAATCCCTGACTCAAGTGAATGAAGGTTTGATGATAGCGAAAGATGCTATGATCGCGATAAGCTTATTTCATCGATGCAATCGGATTTGGATGCTTCCCGTCGAGACTTGGATTGGCTGGTGTACGTTGTTGTTGTTCGCATTGTTGATAAATTGATTGAGTATCCGGACTTTACTAACGCGACAAGTCTCATCCGACATGCTGCTTTTATGGTCGGGATTGAGTCTGTTCAGAAAACTTCTGCTGGTGCTGGTGGTGGAGATGTTGGTATTGATGTTGCTTTTGTCGGTCTCATGGTTAGTGTGAATGATGCTTTGTTGTCTTTTGCCAGTATGGATCATGCATCCTTGTTGGGTCTAGGTGAACTGGGTGTTGGGGGTCTCCAGGAATTGTGCTCTTTTGGTGGTTTAGAGGGTACTCCAGAAAGTGCGATGGGTCAGGATATTGTGTAGGTGGTAGAGGTTGATGCTGTATGGGGTAATGAGGGTGGTGATGGTGATCGTGGCGAAGGTGAAGTGGCTGTTGTGGGAAATGAAGTCACATGTGGTGAGAATGATGCTGTTGAAGATGCTCCGGCATCGTGTGCTACCCCTCTTGGGGCGTGAAAATTTCTTTGCATGTTTCATTTTCTATCTTGTATGTTTCTTTTGATGGCCATATGGTGCCTTTTGTTTGTATAACGTATGGACATTTGAACAATATTTACTGTTTTATGTGTGTGATCGTGTACTCTAAGCGTTACTTGTTTGTTGCTTACTCTCTTTTTCTGTTTCTTTTTTTGTTTTGAAAAAATAGCGCTCTGATGCGCTAGGCGTTCTGCTTCGCCTATGTCATTTCCGACATGCTAAGTATCGGTACTGCGTGCTCTTAGTACCCAACGAATGGATCTCTACATGCACATTTTCAATTGTTAAGAGTTAATACACTAAGTATTAAAGATTAGCATTTGAATAATCCCATTATATTAACCATGGACTATAAATACACTAAGTATGAGACTCATGTCACTAAGCATGGACTTGTGTACACTAAGTACTTGGGATGTGCCGCACTAAGCACCATATCAGTCGACTAGGATTACACTTCTTTCTTTTTAAAAGAAAAACTTTTTCAAGTTCCTGGCATTCTACGTTCTTGGAATCTACCTTCCTTCCATCGTTTCCAAGACATATGCACCATTCCAATTTGCTTCCGTGACTTTGTAAGGGCCTTCCACGTTGGGACCAGTTTGTCTTGGGGTTGGGCTCGGCTCGCTTCGTTTTTCCTTAGAACATGCTCTCCTACTTTGAACGCTTTCTCCTTTACCCTTTGGTTATAATACCTTTCTGTTGGATGCCTGTGTGCAGCCTGACGCATTTCTGATTTTTCGCGTTTTTCTTATAGGATATCCAGGTTTATCCTCAGGTCCCGTACGTTGCTTTCTTCATCCGTGCTAGCTACCCTTAGTGTACTCACTGTTAACTCCATGGGGAGCATAGATTCTGTCGCGTATGTGAAGCATAACGAGGTTTCTTGTGTGCTCGTTCGCGGTGTGGTCCTGTGTGACCATAACATTGTCGGTATCTCCTCCGCCCAGTTCCCTTTTGCTTTGGCAAACATTTTCTTGACCCCATTCACGATAGTTCGATTGGACACCTCAGTCTATCCATTTGCTTGTGGGTGTGCTACTGATGTGAATCGTTGATTTATCCCTTTGGTGGCGCACCACTCCTTGAATGGGTTCTTGGCAAACTGTAGGTCGTTGTCACTGATGAGTACTTTAGGCATCCCAAACCTTGTTATAATATTCTTCCATACGAACTGTATCATGTGTCTCCCAGAGATGCACCCTAACGGTTCCGCTTCAACCCATTGTGTAAATTAGTTAACGACCACCACCATGTATTTCAGCTTCCCCGGTGCTTCCGGGAATGGGCCCACTATATCTATACCCCATTGGTAGAACGGCAACGGGCTAGATATGTTATGCAATGGTGCTGGGAGGTTTGCTTGGACTGGACCGTAAGACTAGCATTCCCTACATCTCCTGGAAATCTCTAGCACATCTTGTTGTATTGTGGGCTAGTATACACCCATTCATAGTACTTTGCTTGTTAAGGCGCGTGCCCCCTCGTGTGCACCCACCTGGCCTGCGTGTGCTTCCTGTAGCATTTCTCTCCCTTTGGCTTGGTCTACACACTTCATCCATGGCATTGTAAACCCTTTCCTGTATAATTATCGATTTGTTAATGCATATGAGGGCACTTTTATACGTATCTTCTTGGCCTCGTCGTGATCGTCCGACAGCACCCCCCTTTGTAGGTATTCCATTAATGGTGTCATCCACGTGGGTCCAGTGGTGGTTAGGGCATTCACCTACTATTCGTGTATACTTCTTTCTCAGAGTACCACTACCAAGACTTTCTTCGATGGGTGATCGAAGCACGTAGATGCCAATTTGCTTAAGGCATCCACCCTCTTATTTTCGCTTCTAGGTATCCGCTTAATTGTGAACTGCTTGAACGATTCGACTAGTTGTTTCACCATCTTCATGTACCCTCCAATTCTCTGATCTCTTACCTCGAAACTTCCATTGACTTGGTTCGCTGCTAGCCTTATGTCAGTCAGGGCCGTTACAACCTTTGCACCCATTTGCTTGGCTAGTCGCAATCCTACGAGCAGAGCCTCGTACTCCACTTCATTGCTTGATGTGTGAAAATCAAAATAGAGGGCATAAGTCACTTCTTCCCCCTCAAGGCTAGTCAAGATTAGCCCCGCCCCGAGCTTTCCCTGTTGGATGCTCTGTCCGTATAAAGTGTCCATGAACTATTTTCGGTCGGAGCCCCTTCAACTACCCACACTTTCTCCTTAACAGGGCCCCCTTTGTCTGGGATTTCTAGCAGGAAGTCGGCCAAAGATTGTGTGACATCCCCAAAATCTCGGCCAGAAAAGACCGATTTTCATTTATGCTTTTAAAATAATTTCAGAGTAAATCCTTTTGATTTGAAAGAGTTGCGGAATTTGTTCCCAAACACAAAACATGAATAAACAATGTTTACCAAAGCATTTCATAAAAGAAATCTATTTTCATTATATAATCAAAACTCGGGGTGTCATGTTCCGATACAGACCAATAAGCATAAACGATGACACTATAAGTCATTCAACAAATATATACATATACAGACTTGTAAACAAAACAACTTGATCGTTCATCCATCTTACGCCCTCGCACCACTTCCTGTAATACAAATAAAACTGAGTGGGTCAGGCTTGGGAGCCTGGTGAGCATATAGGGTTTTCAACCCACAATAAATAATTAAATTAATTTTCACCAATCAACAATAACCCAATTATCCATTCCCGTTATTCTCACTTTACGTCCCTAAAACAACTAACACAAGGGACCTAGTCTTAGAATATTTCATCGGGGCGACAACACATGCATTCAGGGGTTTCCTGGTAATATATGTCAAATAAGGCAACCATGAGGGGGATGGAATACATCGAATGAACACCCAAGTTCATTAACACCTACAGGTTATGAGCCTACTAGCGTTCCACTGGATTGTCTAGAAAAGTATGTGGTCGTCATCTAAATTCCACTAGATGACTGGATCAAAACAACATCGAGGCCTCTCATCTGTTTATTACACACCAACTATCTACCCATGTTCTACCCAATATATTAGTAGACAAAACATACATTTTTATACATAGTTTCAAAACCTGTATAGCATGCTCAATCAATACATTTTCCACATAATAGATGAGGCAGCCCCACATAACACGTATTTCATAGAGAAATAATCAGATCTATAAGATAGAAGAAAGTGAATATACATTCACACACATAACAACAAAATATACATACACATAACACGTATTTCGTATAAAATACTTCATAATTATGCGTTAGAAGAAATTAACTACACACTCACTTGATCAGAAGATGATCGAAGAAGTACTAATCCTCAACAGATCTGGAAGATCTCTACAAAAATCGAACTTCTCGCTGGCAGAGCTTCGGCTCGGGAACCGCACTTCTCGGGATCTTCGGGATCTTGGGACTTTCTTCGGGGCTTGAGAATAATACCGGGGCCTCGGGGTACTTCTAGCATGCAAATCGATGCAAAAAGGGAGAGAGAAGGCAGAAAAATAGCAAAAGAACTCGGCAGCCTCGCATCCTATTTATAGGAGGCTAGAGCCTCGGAGTACGCGGGGCATACGCCTCGGTTCGTAACCGCATGCATCATCCGAAGAACTCGAGTGCGAGTTTCGACATACCTTGGGTATGCAAGGCGTATACGAGTACGCGGGGCGTACTTCGGATGAGTCCGGTGACTCCTCTTCGGATAATGCCGGATTTAATAATTAAATTTAATTATTAATTATTTAATAAACTTCGAAAATTCATATCTTCTTCATACGAACTCCGTTTTCAATGTTATTTATATCCACACGAAGGTGAAACTACGCTATACAACTTGTGTTTAGACTCCGTCGCCTAATTTTGAATTTATTTTTATTATTTATTTTTAATAGACCGAGACAGAAAATTTCATTGTAAATTCATAACTTCTTCGTTTGACGTCCGTTCTTGACTAACTTTTTATCGCTTCGATACTAACAACGAGATCTTCGATTCTCATTTAGTTCACTAAGGCTAAATATCGCTCTAACGTAAATTTCACTTTTTACGTCATTCAGCATTGCCGGTTCTGTCGCGAAACTTCGACATGTCATAACTTCTTCGTTATAACTTGGATTTCGGTATTCTTTATATCTTCGGAAACCTTGTTTCAACTACTACAACATTATCCAAAGATATCAAGTTTATTTTACACTTAAATTTTGACGCTTATTTTTATTCTTAATTAATCAAACCACATAATTAAGCAATTAAGCACAAAACACATAATACTCAAATAATACACTTCTATTATTTCAAAACGGGTTACAAAGGTTAACCTAGACTATTATATCAACATTAATGACAGGCCCAGAAACACAGGCCTTACAATTCTCTGCACCTTAGAATGATTCTGTCCCCGGAATCACACATCAACAAACAAATGCGAATAGCGACCCATCATGTCACTCTCCGTCTCCTAGGTGAGATCCGGCCCATTCGTGTGTTTCCATCGGAAAAGCACTAACTCGACCATCTTGCGTCGCAACTTCTTAGTCTTTCGGTCAACAATTGCCTCTAGTTCTTCAATCAACCTTTTGTTCTCATCGATTCTCAACTCCGAAAGTGGAATCATGTCAGGAACTTCCCCCGTGAACTTCCGTCAATAACACACATGAAAAGTGTTAAGAATTCCATTAAGTTATTTTGGTAGTTCGAGCTTGTAAGCTTGGTTCCCAATGCTCTGAAGAACTTTAAATGGTCCAATAAACCTTGGACTTAATTTTCCCCTTTTTCCAAATCTTATAAGTCCCTTCCACGGCGAGACTTTAAGCAAAACCGAATCCCCAACTTCAAAAGTCATCGGTCTTCGCTTTTTGTCAGTATAGCTCTTTTAACGATCCTGAGCCGCTAACATTCTTTCCGTAATTATTTTCAACTTTTCAGCAGTTTGATGAACCAACTCCGGTCCCATAAACTGCTTTTCCCCAGCCTCAAGCCAACAAGACGGCGTACGACACTTTTGTCTATACAAAGCTTGGTAAGGTGCCATCTTAATGCTCGAGTGAAAACTATTATTATAGGAAAATTCTACCAATGGTAAATGTTCATCCCAATTACCTAGGAATTCCAAGGTACATGCTCTCAGCATATCTTCAAGTGTTTGTATCGTTCTTTCACTCTGACCATCAGTCTGCGAATGGTAAGTTGTATTTAAACATAACTTGGTACCCATTTCCTCTTGTAGACTTTTCCAAAACCTTGAGGTGAAACGGCTATCACGATCCGATACAATCGTTAACGGAACACCGTGAAGCCTCACAATTTCTTTCACGTAAGAATTTGCAAGATTTTCCATAGACCATTTCTCCTTGGCTGCTATGAAATGCGCACTCTTAGTGAATCGATCAACGACCACCCATATCATGTCATGACCATTCTTTGTTCTGGGCAGTTTAGTGACAAAATCCATAGAAATGTCTTCCCACTTACCCATAGGCACAGGAAATGGTTCTAAACTCCCGTACGGTTTCTGATGTTGTGTCTTGACTCTCGCACAAGTCACACACTCCGCCACATACTTCGCGATGTCAAGCTTCATCGTCGGCCACCAGTAGTAGGGTGTCAGGTCCCTATACATTTTAGTGCTACCGGGATGAATCGAGTACATGGTCTTGTGAGCTTCTTCCATCAGAAGATCCCTGACTCCTCCTGTCTTAGGTATCCAAATCCGATCTTGGAACACCTTCAGTCCATGACTGTTTACACCAAACACCAACGTTTTGCCCAAACGTTCCTCCTTTCGGTCATTCTTTTCAGAAGCTTCCTCTTGAGCTTTCTTTATACTTTCCACAATGGTCGAGACGACTTCAATTCTCAACGCTCTTGGCCTTTTCCTTTCAAGATTGACTTTCCGACTGAGAGCATCAGCAACAATATTAGCTTTACCGGGATGGTAAAGTATCTCACAATCGTAGTCCTTGAGTAATTCCAACCAGCGTCGTTGCCTCATATTCAATTCCTTCTGATTAAAGAGATATTGGAGACTCTTATGATTAGTGAAAAGTTTGCAC